TCTGTTCATTTCATGATGCCATATCTACTTTTGGATTTGGGAGTTTGGATGTCTTTGATTTAGAGTATGTTGCTTCATAGAGGTGGAGAGATGGAAGGGTCCTCTCAATGCCCAAGTAGCCACAGGCATGCATTGTGTGCTGGGAGCAGCCTGACTCCAGCATTTCTGAAACCTGGAGGTCAAGGCCCTTGAACATTATGCATGCATTGATTTTCCATCCCATGTGTCCACCCCGTATGTCCCCTTAACTACAGTCTACAGACGTCACATGCAACTCCTGGAACTATTCCATCAGCGTTGTCTCCAAAAAATCCTGCAAATCTCTTGGGAAGACAAGCAGACAAATGTCAATGTGCTGGAAGAAGCAAAGACCACCAGCATTGAAGTGATGGTCCTTCGCCATCACCTCCGCTGGACCGGCCACGTTGTCCGGATGCCTGACCACCGTCTCCCAAAGCAGTTGCTCTACTCCGAACTCAAGAACGGAAAATGGAATGTTGGTGGGCAGGAAAAGAGATTGAAAGATGGGCTCAAAGCCAACCTTGAAAACTCTGGCATAGATACCCAGAACTGGGAAGCCCTGGCCCTTGAGCGCTCCAGCTGGAGGTCAGCTGTGACCAGCAGTGCTGCAGAATTTGAAGAGGCACAAATAGAGGGTGAAAAAGAGAAATGTGCCAAGAGGAAGGTGCGTCAAGTCAACCCTGACCGGGACCGCCTTCCACCTGGAAACCAATGCCCTCACTGCGGGAGAAGATGCAGATCATCTACGGACCCACCTCCAGGATACTACACTTGGAGGACCATCATCCTCAGACTATGAGGGATCGCCTCAATAAGTAAGTAAGTAAGTCCTCTTAACTATCTCTTCACAATGTGTCCCAGAAATGGCCAAATGAACACTCAGTGAAGACAGTTCCCAGTGGTTTTGAGCACCCTTTTTGATCTTTTCTACAAATGTTCATATATATTATCCCCCACCCTTTACAAAATCCAGCTATTCCTCAGACCTGCAGAGAAAGGCACATCAGCTTCGTTCTTCTTGAAATTCCCTTTCTCATCCAGGAAATGTTCTGGGTTGAAACGGTGTGGATTCTTAAATTGCTTGGGACAATTCAATGCCGAGGTCAGCATGGTCAGGACGGTCGCACCCTGATGAAAGGAAACACAGCAACAGCAGACAAGAGTCCTTTGTCTCACCCTGGTCATTCCACAGATATATAAACCCATTTTCCTAGTTCCAACAGACCTCACTACCTCTGAGGATGCTTGCCATAGATGCAGGCGAAACGTCAGCCCGAAAAAAACCTACAACAACCCATAAACTTATTAGTATTTCAATGGAAAGTGTGGGCCTGCCTTTGGCTGATGAGATAGGATTGTGGTTGTTGTTGTATGCTTTCAGGTCGTTTCAGACTTAGGTTGACCCTGAGCGAGGGCCAGGTAAATGACCTTGGAGGGCTGTATCCAGTCCCTGGGCCTTAGTTTGAGGACCCCTGGTTTAGGGCTTTGTAGGTAATAACCTGCACCTTGAATTGGGACCAGAAACTTATCAGTAGCCAGTGGAGCTGTTTGCATCAATACAGCGAAAAAGGGCAAAATCTATACACTTGAGAACAAAACGGAGAGTAAATCAGATCAAAAAGCATGAAGATATGAACAAGACCCAAAATCCAGAAACCTGAACACATGAAGCAAGGCCATAGATCTTAAGAGTTGTTTCCACTTGAAATGCAACATTGTTCTCACAAAGAGCTGTACACTTGGAGCCCATTTAAAAGCCTCAATTCCCTCCCATGACATCACTCCTCATACACCTGGTTCTTCACTGCTTATCTCAAAGCCGCTGAGAAAAGTGAGCCTGTCCCTCTCTCACACTCTTTCGGCACATTTTCATAGGAATAGATTTCGCTTTCTCTAACATCCTGAGAATTACAAGCAGATTCACTAACACATCTCTTGATGCCATTTCTACCCCCCCCCCCAAAAAAAAACCTCCCTCCTGAGACTTATTCTCATCCTCTGAAGCATCAGATTGTTTACAAACCACAATACACTGGAGTCTCTGCCTCCCTAGGAAAAAAAATCCGAGGTCAGCAGAAGCCGGTGGGGGGGGGGGGGGGGGGAGGGGGAGAGAATACAGTCCTAAGGGGACACCACAGGATGCACACTGGAGTATGGTTACATCGCTGAAGCCATGCCTCTCACATGCGCTGAGAGGGAAAACATGATTTCAATCCCACATTTCTTTACTCTACTTCTGACAACCTCTGCCTATAGTTGACTATGGGTAGCTTATGAAGGGGACCACGCATCATGTGAAAGGTTCTGTCAGATGAAGAGTCTCAAAACTGCGTGATGAGGTCCTCTGTCACAGTAGGAAGACATTGCTGAAATTACCAGTGACTTCCATCACTAATGAAGTTGGTAAGAAATACATCCCTAAAGCAATCTGCATCTCCCAATCAGAATAAAGATCTGACTGTCCATTCAACACCATGGTGTCAAGGTATTTTTTGTCTCCTTAAAAGAAACTCACAGTTGCGGACCCCCTTATGTGCCATGGTACCTTTGGGATGATGAAGCCTTCCAGTTCCACGTCCCTCTTTGCCTTTCGGACAAGCCCAGAAGGGATAAGGTCAAGAACTCGCTGGGCTTCATGGATGACTGCTTCTGTGTAGGGCATCTTGGGGCGGTCTGCCATGGTGGGTGATCGCTCCTGCCCAATCACGGAGTCTATTTCCTCATGAACCTTTGCTGGAAGCAGAATCAAAGCCAATGTGTTTCCATACATATAGAAAAAAGAGACCCAGCTTTGGTTAGCTCCCCCATCCTCTTTTCAATTTGTCTGCATTAGATAGTGACAGTCTGTTAATTGTATTGTCGAAGGCTTTCATAGCTGGAATCACTGGGTTGTTGTAGGTTTTTCCGGGATATATGGCCATGGTCTAGAGGCATTCTCTCCTGACGTTTCGCCTGCATCTATGGCAAGCATCCTCAGAGGTAGTGAGGATGATGATCTCACTACCTCTGAGGAAGCTTGCCATAGATGCAAGTGAAATGTCAGGAGAGAATGCCTCTAGACCATGGCCATATAGCCCGGAAAAAACCTACAACAACCTAGTGACAGTCTGTTAATTCTCAGCTATCTCATCTCCTTTAAATGTGTCCTGGTTTCTCCCTTCTTCTCCTACCTTTCCTCTTTGTCCTTGGTTTTCCCCACTTGCTACAAATTGACTTCAAATTGCAAATGCCCTTAATGAACTCTTACCCTTCCCAGTTGGCTCAACCAAAATCAAACTGCTGCAACCTCTGCTCAAGAATAAGGAATATGAGTTCAAGCAACAGTGTGATAATTTTAGATAGATAGAATTATAGACATTCATAGAATCATAGAATCAGAGTTGGAAGAGACCTCATGGGCCATCCAGTCCAACCCCATTCTGCCAAGAAGTAGGAATATTGCATTCAAATCACCCCTGACAGATGGCCATCCAGCCTCTGTTTAAAAGCTTCCAAAGAAGGAGCCTCCACCACACTCCGGGGCAGAGAGTTCCACTGCTGAACAGCTCTCACAGTCAGGAAGTTCTTCCTGACTCAGGTGGAATCTCCTTTCTTGTAGTTTGAAGCCATTATTCCATGTCCTAGTCTCCAGGGTAGCAGAAAACAAACTTGCTCCCACCTTGCTATGACTTCCTCTCACATATTTATACATGGCTATCATTCTCCTCTCAGCCTTCTCTTCTTCAGGCTAAACATGCCCAGCTCCTTAAGCTCCTCATAGGGCTTGTTCTCCAGACCCTTGATCATTTTAGTCGCCCTCCTTTTGACACATTCCAGCTTGTCAATATCTCTCTTGAATTGTGGTGCCCAGAATTGGACACAATATTCCAGGTGTGGTCTAACCAAAGCGGAATAGAGGGGTAGCATGACTTCCCTAGATCTAGACACTATGCTCCTCTTGATGCAGAAACGGCAAAACATTTCTAATCATAGAATAAAATACTGTTTGATGATCATGTGGTATATTGATAGCATCTGGGTATGACTGAATGTCATAATGCAATATTTAAGGGGGTGGGGTAATGTCTGCGTCCTAACCATGAGAAGGTTATTGCAAAGGGGTTGCATCAGCCAGTGACCCTTACCGACCTATCAGCAGGTGGCTATACAAGAAACATGAAAGAATCCATCTTTCTCTCTCCTGTGTGACTCAGTGTGAGTATCTGCCTGTGTTGTATGTGATTATTAGATAAACTCTGCTTGTTTGCAATGACTACCTGAAAGTGGACCCGCAAATCCTGTTTTACTAACGGTGAAAATTAAAACCTCTGGATATTTTGGATGAACACCTGAATCCATGAGTTTACTAAACAGTGTATGTAGATAATGTCAGATGCAGACACTAGGACTCAGGGAGATTGTGATTAGGAAACTATAAATCGCTTCATATATCAACATCCCGTGTGGAGAAGCCCAAAAATATTGGAAGCGTATACATGTGAGAAGACGTACGGCAAGGCTGCATACTCTCACCCAACCTATTTAACATGTATGCAGAACACATCATGCGATGTAATGATTACTGCAGATGCAGACTGTAGCCAGGAAATCAGAAGACGCTTACTTCTTGGGAGGAGAGCAATGTCCAGTCTCGATAAAATAGTAAAGAGTAGAGACATCAGACTGGCAACCAAGATCCATTGCCTAGTCAAAGCCATGGTATTCACCGTAGTCACCTATGGATGTGAGAGCGGGACCTTAGGAAGGCTGAGCGAAGGAAGATCGATGCTTTTGAGCTGTGGTGTTGGAGGAAAGTGCTGAGAGGGCCTTGGACTGCGAGAAGATCCAACCAGTCCATCCTCCAGGAAATAAAGCCCGACTGCTCACTGGAGGGAAAGATACTAGAGACAAAGTTGAAGTACTTTGGCCACATCATGAGGAGACAGGAAAGCCTAGAGAAGACAATTATGCGGGGGAAAGTGGAAAGTAAAAGGAAGAGGGGCCGACCAAGGGCAAGATGGATGGATGGCATCCTTGAAGTGACTGGACTGACCTTGAAGGAGCTGGGGGTGGTGACAGCCGACAGGGAGCTCTGGCGTGGGCTGGTCCATGAGGTCACGAAGAGTCGGAGACGACTGAACGAATGAACAACAACATGAGAAGACTCAAAAAATCTTAGGAATTAGATTTGTTAAAAAACCAGAATATTTCCTTCTAGGTATTACTGACTTGGACTTAAGTTTAGATCAAAATAAAGATGTTCTTTTGACTTTTATGGCCACAGCTGCAAGAATTGTATAAGATCCCCGACGTTGAAGACTGGATGGAGAAATTAAGGGAAATCAAAGACATGGACAAATTAACCTTTTTATTGAAGGCCAACTCAGGTAGCCCAATAAAAAGGACGGACTGGACGCTTTTCGAAGAATATGAAAAAGATAAGAGACAAATAGCACAAAGATAATGACTATTTCTGTATCTTTCTGAATCTGATATAGATAGAATTATGTTAGTATATGAAACATGCTCTCCACTTCTGATATAGAAAGATATAGCAAATTAAGATACAGAGTAGAACTATATAGTAATAATCAAAATATGAAGATAGATATATTTACTTTAAAGAGAACGATGAGCGAAAGCACAGGATGGAAGTCAAAAGAAATCTATTCCTTTTYYCCCCTTCTCTTCTTCTCTTCTTTGGTTAGCTAGAAGGGTTTTCTCTCTCTCYCCCCCCCCCCTTCTTTCTCTTTTTCCAACTTTCTCTGAATACCAATTGTTCCCCCACTTTCCATGTTTCTGTTTCATACTATACTATTTTATTTTATCTTTGATGTGTGTGTGTGTGTGTGTATRTATAGATTTGAAAAAAAAATCCCGTGACAAATAAGACATAATAGTCTCCAGCCAACCTGCCACTGTTGGGTGTTCCAGCAGGAGCATCAGGATGAACCTCAGGGTGGTGCTGGTGGTCTCCATCCCAGCAACAAACAGGTCGTTAATGGTCATCATCAGATTCTCTGTAGTAAATTCAGTCTTGGGGTTGTTCTTCTCCTGCAAAGGGGAAAGAGCAAGTGCAAAAGCTTTTTCACCAGCCAAGAAGTACTGATGTGAGATCAGAACCAATCCCTGGACTGGATGGGGAATTCTGGGCATTGGTAGTAATGTTTCATGTCACTTGGGCATAATATCGACATCCTCCTGTTAAACGGAGGTCAGAATCCTATATCTTCCTAGATTATGTCATACTGTGGTTCTCAGCATTCATCATTTTGACTACACAACCAAAAACATAAATAAAATAGTCTTGATTTGTGGGCCTGTTTCTGGGGTTACGTGGGGTGCTGGTTCAAAGAAGTGTTGGAGAATCAACAACCTCTCATGCTTCTTCCTGTTTTTATGACCCCCAATCTCATTTGCATGCCCCATTCTCCATGACACATGGGACTAAACAGTATAATATAATATAAATGGATTCCTGAATAAGTACATACAACAAAAATACCACTTATATTTAGAGTAAACAATAATAGAATTCAACAAACAGTTATACAGACATGAAGTAGGCCAAAACCGGTCGTGGACGGCTGATTCATAAGCTACTCAACAAAAGAAGATACAACATTGATATTATTCTAAAGAGACTGTACCAAAATTTACATAATAGTGTTTGACATCACTGTGAAATTGAACAGTACAACATGTCTATATAACTGCTTGTTGAATTCCATTATTGTTTTGATATTATTCTAAAGAGACTGTACCAAAATTTACACAATATTGTCGAATTCTATTATTGTTTACTCTAATATATAAATGGTATTTTTGTGGTATGTACATGGGACTAAACGCCATGCACCATCTCCTTTGAGGTAGGAGAGTTAAAAGTTCTTGTTTCTTTGTTCTCCGTCTGTGTTAAAATGCCGACCTGTCGCATTTGTTTTTACCATTTTGCATGATGCTCTGGTTGATTTCCATCCCTGTCTTAAACATTTCATCCAACACAGGGAGTAAATCTGCTCCTCATTGGAGATCATAGAATCCTAGTGTTGGAAAAGACCTCATGGGCCACCCAGTCCAACCCTTCTTCCAAGAAGCAGGAAAATTGCATTCAAAGCACCCCCAACAGATGGCCATCCAGCCTCTGTTTAAAAGCCTCCAAAGAAGGAGCCTCCACCACACTCTGGGGCAGAGAGTTCCACTGCTGAACAGCTCTCACAATCAGGAAGTTCTTCCTAATGTTCAGATGGAATCTCCTTTCTTGTAGTTTGAAGCCATTGTTCTGCATCCTAGTCTCCAGGGCAGCAGAAAACCAGCTTGCTCCCCGCTCCCTATGACTTCCTCTCACATATTTGTACATGGCCATCATATCTCCTCTCAGTCTTCTCTTCTGAGACCTAACATCTGTGCCAGATGTTCCCAGTTTCCCTCCAAAAAGGAGGAGAACTCTCTGGTTGAGGCTCACCTGCTCCATTTTGAGGAGGAAAGCCTCTATGAAGTCCTGAGGAGCATCTGTGCCATCAAAAGTCCTCTCATGTTCCTCAATCTTCTGAGTGATAAAGTCCTGGATACCAAATCCTTCCTTGAACATGGTTTGATGTGGGCCGGGCAAGTGGTCCATGATCCAGGGGAAAATGTTGTAGAGCTGAAGGGGAAAGAGAAAGAGGGTGGCATCACTAGGCAACCAAGTCACATTCCCCTTCCACCCTGAGCACCCCTTATCCAGAACTCAGAAACCCCAAATAATACAAGATCCAACAATGTCCCAATGCTTCTAGAACATGGCCATATAGCCCGAAAACCTACAACAATCCCAATGGTTGGCTGAGACCTTTGCTATCAGATGGTTCAGTGAACCAAAACTCAGGATACAATGACCATCAGGCTATGTGTATAAGCTGTCTATGACACCTAGATTAGACATGGATCCCATATCTAAGATCTAGGATTGTTTTAATCTGTTTTTTACCTAAATTTTAATTTAAGAGTTTATTTAATACTGTATGGAACATTGAACATCTGCCTTGTTTTGGAAGCTGGCCTGAGTCCCCTTGGACAGAGAGGGTGGGTTAGAAAAATAATAATAATAATAATACTCTATCATTATGTACATATCTACAAATACAAGTACTCCAAAATCTGGCGGGAAAAAAATCTGACATATCAAACACATCTGGTCTCAAGCATTTTGGACAAGGGAGACTTAACCTGTAGTCATTTGGGTCTTGGGAAGGTTACAAATTTGGAACCCAAATCTCAGAAACCTCTGGCCACCACAGATAGTCTAGCTGGGTGAATCTGGAAGCTGTTGTCTTTTCTGATCTGCAGACTCCAACCCCACTCACACTGCTGTTTAAAATCCAGAATATCTGCTTTGAACTGGATTATATGGCAATGTAGACCCATGTAATCCAGTTCAAAGCAGATAATCTGGATTATATGGCAGTGTAGACCCAGCCTCCATCTCCCAGTCCATAACTTCTTCCCAGTCTGGTCATCATGGTCCTCCTCTTCACCTGTCCTGCAAAGCTGCTTTCTATCCGGAAGGCATTGGTGATGAATTGAAGGACTTGGAGGTACTCTTCATCCTCATAATTGAACCGCTCGCCCAGGAGGATGTGGCAGATCACGTTCCCTGTGGCACAGTTGAAAATCCTGGATGGGCTCAAGGGTTTGCCTGTGTTGGGGAGCAGCAGAATTAGTGGGGTGGCAGAGACATGTCTCAACCCAGTGTCACCAATGTACTGTCCAAAGCACCCCATCCCAGTACTGCCATGGCCGATGGTAGCCTCAGTGGTTCTTAATCTTCCTAATCCCATGACCCCTTAATACAGTTCCTCATGTTGTGGTGACCCCCAACCATAACATTATTTTCATTGCTACCCCATAACTGTAATTTTGCTACTATTATGAATCGGCATGTAAATATTTGATATGCAGGATGTATTTTCATTCACTGCACCAAATTTGGCACAAATACCCGATACGCCCAAATTTGAATACTGGTGGGGCTGATCTTGTCATTTGGGAGTTGTAATTACTGGGATTTACAGTTCACCTACAATCGAAGAGCATTCTGAACTCCACCAATGATGAAATAGAAACCAAACTTGGCACACAGAACTCCTATGACCAACAGAAAACACTGGAAAGGTTTGATGGGGATTGACCTTGAGTTTTGGAGTTGTAATCCACCTATATCCAGAGAGCACTATGGACTCAAACAATGATGAATCAGGACCAAACTTGGTACGAATACTCAATATGCCCAAATGTTAACACTGGTGGAGTTTGGGGGAAATAGATCTTGACATTTGGGGGTTGTAGTTGCTGGGATTTACAGTTCACCTACAATCAAAGAGCATTCTGAACGCCACCAATGATAGAATTGGGCCAAACTTCCCACACAGAACCCTCATGACCAACAGAAAATACTGTGTTTTCTGATGGTCTTTGGTGACCCCTCTGACACCTCCTTGCGACCTCCCCAGGGGTCCCGACCCCCAGGTTGAGAAACGCTGCTGTAGGTTAAGAAGACCTGAATGTACTTGGGGGTTTAGTCCAGATTTGAAAGTAGGACATAGTTCTGAACCTGAACCAAAGAAGGGACATCAAGATAGTCTAAGCTCTGGAAACCAAGTCTTGTAAGACAAGACTAAGGGAGCTGGGTCTCTTTAGCTTGGAAAAGAGAAGACAAATAGGTGTCATGAGATCCATCTTCAAAGGTCTGAAGGGAAGTCATGCCCAAGATGGTGCCCTCTTGTTTTCTGCTCCTACAAACATTAGGACAAGAACCAATAAGTTCAAATGGCAAGAAATGTGACTTTACATAATATTGGGAAGAACCGCCCGATGGTAAAAGCTATCCGGCGGTGGAACAGAATCTCTTGAAGTGGGGTTGGACTTTCCATCTTTGGAGATTTCTAATTAGAGGTTGGATGGGCATCTTTCAGGGATGCTTTATTCTGGTGTTCCTGCATTGCTGAAGGGGGGTGAGATGTACACAAATACCCCATTCCAGGCATCCTCAAACTGTGGCCCTCCAGCTGTTAGGGCTTCAGGGAGTTGGAGACCCAAACGAGGAATTCTGAGAGTTGAAGGCCCAAACAGCTGGAGGGCCACAGTTGGAGGATGCCTGCCCCATTCTGTTCACAATAAGTACCAAATGCTGTTTCCTAAATATGGCTGGAGAACAAATGTTACTACTCACACCCTTGTTGCGGTAAGTCATAGCAGGACCATGTGTGTGTATTGAAGAACACTCTTATAGTGTTAATTATCATGTGCAGCTGGTAATGTAGGTCAACTAGCAAGCTTGAGCCACACCTGATGGTGTATAACTGTATGGGTTTTTGAATACAGTTCTGGAGAGCTTTAGGAGAGCTTTTTCTCCGAGGAGATCTATGTTCAAAGGCTCTGCTCTGGGGAGCAGTTTAGAGAAGCTACTCTGAAGGAGGCTATGGTGGAATTGATGAAGGCAAGATGAAAATACATAATACACATATTGAAAAATATATATTGGATGTAACCATATTAGAAATAGGAATTAGAAAATATAAAGGATGTATGTATGCATGAACTTCACTTCACTTGGCTTCTTAAAAGCTGCAAAATTAGATGCCTCAAGAGAGGCTAGGGTCTAGGAAAGGAATGTCAAGAGACCTCTGGCAAATTTCAAGAGACTCTTTCCATTTTGGTATCATTATTAATGAGCTGGCCATCAAGAGGCTTCAGGAAGGACTTATCTCAGGATGGAGGGAAGCTCTTGCTATCAGTGGCCTAGTAGACACTCTGGCGCATGGTCCTCATTAATAGCAGCTCCTTAGATAAAGATGCTTAAATGAAGATTGACAGGTGTTGAAGTTAAAATATGCCATTGAAGTCAATGTAAAAGTAGAATTTTGTGATGCACATTGTGATGCCTGTATGATGCATACATATTATTTTAAAGAGTATATAAACCTAGGTGTTTCTTTGTTCAATACCCTGTCTCTGGACTACCAGCAGGGTCCATATCCGGTTGGCGCCAACCGAGAATAAACCATGCTTTTGCAGACCTCAGGAACTCTCTTTGTCTCTTTTCCTCAAACCTTCTCCCTGCCATTTCAGAATAGCTATTTACTCAAGGTTTATGTTTTGCTCTCTCATTTGATTCAAGATGAAGATGCCTTATTCTATGTTTCTTGCAAGGACTATGTAAGTTTGTTGAACTGTCTGATTTTTGTATGCAGCATTCAAAGTTTATGTTTCATCTCTGCTATTAAGAGTAAAGATTTTTCTGTTCATTTTTACTCTTGTCTGTGAGTCTATTGCATTTGGACTTTTTGGGTGCTGGGTAAAATCCACTGCTGCACAACAACCCTCAGCTAGCCACGGATTGTCTACAAAGACCAGGATGTGAGTTCTTCAAGAAGCAAATACAAAAGCAAAGAATGTGCACGCACCCTTGGTCTCCTTGAGTGCCTTCACCAAGTGCTGGGCCTCCTCCTTGATCCGTTCCTCAATGCTTTTCTTCCCCATCCCAAAGTTCCTCAAGGTCATGAGGGAGAAACGGCGGAGCTGGATCCAACGCTCACCGTTGGACATGAATAAGCCTGAAGGAGGCAACCAGAGAAGCTGAGTGAATCCAGAGCTTAGCTCAGTAAAGATAGACATGAACTGGATTGAACATTGCACATCATTTCTGGCCATGTTCCCTGAGGAGAATGGTACAGGGCTTATGGGATGTGGCCTACAGACTGAACTACATGCCAACTTCTACTTTTGAGTGGGCAATTGCATGTTCACATGTCCCCAGGATTAGTGGTCCTTCTTGGCTTCATTGTTGGTGGCTCACATGTCCCTGAGAAGCCTTGTTTGCCTTCATGGCACATTTGAACAATGAAGCCAAAGGTGGGCAATGGCACCTAGTGCTATTCCTGGTGGATTTGGGACCTCCTCGTCATCATGAGCTGCATCAGATTGGCTCCCTCTTCTCCCAACGAATGGTGTCTCACTTGGTTGAAGGACCTTACCAAGTCCTCGGTTGACCTTATCTGCCGTTGGAAAGCTTCCCCGGTCGAGGAAATCATCTCCACTTTCCAGAAGGACTTTCTTCACCATATCGTAGCCATGGATGACAACCACCTGATCTGAGCCGAAATACACCATGAAGACAGGACCATACTTGGCGCTCAGCTGCAAAGAGAGAGCAGATAGGAGGTGTTTCTGTTGCTACTAAGAGGTTGCAACGTACTTTATCTAAGTTGTTGTAAGGATCAATGTTGTTTGTGCTATACTTTTAACTTACTGTAAGGTTCAAGGCTATTTGTGCTACAGCTGTTTCAGTTAATTGAAGAGTTAATTGAGAGTATTATTTTCATGTGTATAAAGATAGCTACTGTGTGTTTAGTTTTTGCCATTGTGCCTTAATGCCATTGTGCGTGTTTGCCATTGTGCGTGTTTGCCTCTGTGCCGTTCTGTCGGGGACTATGCTGCAGATGTCCTGTGAAGACACAGCCTTGAGAAGAGGACAAGGATTCCTGCTTATCTCAGCTGAGTGGTGATATCTCTCAGAAGATATTGTTTTATGTTACTTTTGTGGAAACAGTAATCCTGCTACTTTATTTTGTATGCTGCCAATACAACAATATTTTCTTTTCTACTTGAAGTCAACGTCTCATGTATTTTTTCTTTTATGAGCCAATTCATCACACACTGTTAACTGGGCTAGAGTCAATCCGCATGCTTCTCATGCTAGCGCATGACATAGGTTATGGGCCCAGCATAGCGGCATAAGGACTCCAAAGCCCATAACTCTGAGACTTTGGGAGAGTTTTTTTTGTGTGTGTTTTTTGTGCTTAAATAGAAAAGTAAGCAGCTATGGCTCATCATATGGCAAGCTTACCATTTGAGCGTTTAAATGCTGATAATTACATGGCTTGGAATGTGAAAATGAAGAGTTTTCTCATAAGAGAAGATTTGTGGACTGTGGTTGAAACCCCACCCACAGAAGCTTCGAGTGAAGAGGTAAAAAAGCAAGACCGAATTGCCAGGGCGAGCATTTTTCTCGCTGTTGAGGATGGGCAATTAATTTACTTAAGGGACACTATATCTGCAGCAGACTGTTGGCAGAAGTTAAAGGAAGTTTATCAAACTGAAACTTCTGGCATAAAAATTATTTTGACCCGGCAGCTTTATAATTTGAAGCTAAAAAGGGGTGACAACATAACTGAGCATTTGCAAAAGCTCAGGCATTTGTTGATGGAGTTGGAAAATAGACAAATGGTGTTTACCGAAACACATAAAGCTTTCATTTTGTTATCTTCTTTGGACTCTAGTTGGGACAATTTTGTGTTCAGTATGCAGAGTGTGCCTGAAGCACAATTAACCTTGGATTTGGTTTCTGCAAGGCTTCTTGAGGAAGAAAGAAGAAAGCAGTTTCTTAAAGAAACAAACACCATTTCAGAAAATGCAGCTTGTGAAGGGGTTGGATGCAGAAAGAACCCTGCTGTGTGTAACGTAAGGAGGTGCTTCAGTTGTGGAGATGTGAATCATCTTGTCAAGGCCTGTCCCAAGAAGAAGAAGAAGAAAGAAGAAATGAAGAGGAACCCTGGGTGGCATGACAGAAATGCAAGGGGAAGAAATGCTGATGTAATGACTGTGTTATCAAAGGCTAAGTATGATGAGGCCACATGGTTACTTGACTCTGGGTGTGCAGAGCATTGTGTTAATAACTTAAAATTGTTAAAGGACACTAAAAAGCCAGATATTAATCATGTTACTTTAGCAGATGGATCATTAGCTGAGTGCAAGCTTGTAGGCTCAGCATTTGTTCCTAGTTTAGGAAGATATTTAGATAATGTTATGTTGGTTGAAAAACTTGATTTTTGTTTATTAAGTGCATCAAGTTTGTGTCTGCAAGGATATGACATCAAACTTAATAGTTCTGGGTGTACTGTATGGAAAGAAAATAAGTTATGTGCCAAAGGTAAATTAGTTAACAAAGTATATGTGATGAGTAACAAGGATAGTTCTCCAAATGTTTCCTGTGTAAATAACAAACCTATACATAATGATTGTATTCATTACTTGCATAGAGTTTTTGGTCACGTGAACTTTAATTATCTACAAAAACTATCAAAAGTGACTGATTTAGAGGTAAAGCCATGTCAAAAGTATTTAGACTGTGCTGTGTGTTCTAAAGCAAAAGTAAAGGCACATCCAATACCTAAGAAAAGTTTAAACACAACTACCAGACCATTTGAATTAGTTCACGCTGATTTAGCAGGACCATTTCCTCTTTCACTTGGAAATGCAAAATTTATATTTGTGTTAGTGGATGATTTTTCACGATTTACTTATTGTATTATTTTGAAATCAAAGTTTCAAGCTTTCAGTAAATTCAAAGAGTGGGTAGCCATGGTTGAGAGAAGATTTCCTTTTAAGGTATCATGTTTAAGGACTGATCGTGGTGGAGAATTTATGGGGACACAATTTCAAGACTGGTTAAGAAAGAGAGGAATTAGACACCATAAAACAAACCCATATTCACCTGCTGAGAATGGTGTGGCAGAAAGAAAAATAGGCGTTTTGAAAACTATGAAAGATTGCATGTTAGTAGATGCAAAAATGTCTAATAGGTATTGGGCAGAAGCAATTTCCACTGCTACATATATCTTAAATAGAAGTTGGAGTTCATGTGTAAATAATACTCCATATTATTTGTTGCATAAGAAAAGGCCAGTTCTAAAACATCTTAGAATATTTGGAAGCTATGCTAACGTGCAGGTACCTAGACAAACTAGAACAAAAGGTCAGAAAAAATGGCAGAGACTACGTTTTCTCGGTTACCAGGATGATACCAAGGGGTATCGTTTTATTAAAGACAATAATAAAATTGTGATTTCAAGAAGTGCAAACTTTGAAAAGAATACGGGTTGGGAACATGTTCATCAGAATAGTGAAGTGTTTTTTCATTTAAAGGAACATACGCCATCAAAGATAGATTTAAAATCTGAGTCTGAAAAACACATTGAGGAACAAAGTGAGGATGATATAAAAGAAGAGCCTGAATTAAGTTTACAGGAAGCTGATGCTGAGGAGCAAATTGTAATACCAAGAAGGTCACAAAGATCTAACAAAGGTGTACCTCCAGATAGGTTCGTGATTCAGGGGGTAATGACTTGTCAGCCTGAAATGGAACCTGAAACCTTTCAGGATTTAAATAATTGTAGTCCAGAAGAACAAAGAAATTGGAAAAAGGCAATGGACAATGAATTTGAATCTTTGCTAAATTTAGAAGTGTTTGATATTGTTGATGTTCCCATAGATAAGCCAGTGATTGGGTGCAGATGGGTTTTTAGGAAGAAACTATTACCCGATGGAAGTTGTAAATATAAAGCTAGGCTAGTAGCTCAAGGATTTGCGCAAAAGCAATTCGTAAATTATGATAACACCTTTGCCCCTACAGCAAAAGCTGAATCAATGAGAATTATAATTGCTTTAGCTGAGCAAGAAGGATTTAAGTTAAAACATTTTGATTTTGAAACAGCGTATTTAAATGCCACAATTAATGAGGAGATATATATGAGGCAAGCGCCTGGATACGAAATTCAAGCAGGAAAGGTTTGTCGGCTTCGGAAAGCATTGTATGGATTGAAACAATCGGCCCGGAGGTGGAACCAGTGTATACATGAAGTATTGGTGAAATTAGGATTTAAACAAAGTGTGGCCGATGCATGTGTTTATACACTAGGTGAAGGCAAAGATAAGATAATTGTGTTAATTTATGTAGATGATCTATGTATAGCCGCACAAACTGACTCTAAAATACAAACTGTATATACGTATTTGTCAAAACATTTTAGGTTAAAAGATTTGGGATGTTTGAAACATTATTTAGGCATCGAAGTAGTAAACAATGAAGGGGTGATATTTCTAAATCAAACAAGGAAAATTTTAGACCTTGTAGCCAAAGCAGGTTTACAAGATGCTAATGCTGTTAAAACTCCTTTAACAGGAGATTTCTTAAGATTGGAAGACACAAGAGAACTAAAAAACACAAAGTTATATCATTCTTTTGTTGGAAGTCTTTTGCACATTGCAAATTGGTCTCGGCCAGATATTGCATATGCAGTGAGTTTACTTAGTAGGAAAGTATCAAAACCAACTATAAGTGACTGGCTAGCATTAAAAAGGTTGATTAGATATTTAAAAGGAACTGCTAATTATTGTTTGTGTTTTTCTAAAGAGGCTGACAAAGAACTGGTAATGTACGCCGACAGTTCTTTTGCTGATGAAAAAGATAGAAAATCTATAAGTGGATACATAGTGCTACATGGAAAATCTCCTATCTGCTGGAGGTCCAGAAAGCAAACAACTGTTGCAGTTTCTACGGCTGAAGCAGAATATGCGGCGTTGTCTCAAGCTGCAAATGAGTTACTTTGGATTAAACAGTTATTTGATGATTTAGGTGTAGAATGTAAATTGCCTATTACTGTGTATGACGATTCTCAAACGTGTATAGCTATGTCAGAAAGCGAAAGTTTAAAAAATACAACAAAATACATAGCTGTGAAGTATCAAAATATAAGAACCTTAATCAAGGAAGGATTTATCAAAATGGTTTATTGTAGGTCTGAAGATAACTTGGCAGATATTTTTACAAAACCTTTAACGGCAGCTAAGCATGGTGAAGCAACCAGAAAGTTAGGCCTAGTAGAATTAAAACAAAATTTGTAAATAATGTAACTTAGATAAAGTGAAGGGGCATGTTGCTACTAAGAGGTTGCAACGTACTTTATCTAAGTTGTTGTAAGGATCAATGTTGTTTGTGCTATACTTTTAACTTACTGTAAGGTTCAAGGCTGTTTGTGCTACAGCTGTTTCAGTTAATTGAAGAGTTAATTGAGAGTATTATTTTCATGTGTATAAAGATAGCTACTGTGTGTTTAGTTTTTGCCATTGTGCCTTAATGCCATTGTGCGTGTTTGCCATTGTGCGTGTTTGCCTCTGTGCCGTTCTGTCGGGGACTATGCTGCAGATGTCCTGTGAAGACACAGCCTTGAGAAGAGGACAAGGATTCCTGCTTATCTCAGCTGAGTGGTGATATCTCTCAGAAGATATTGTTTTATGTTACTTTTGTGGAAACAGTAATCCTGCTACTTTATTTTGTATGCTGCCAATACAACAATATTTTCTTTTCTACTTGAAGTCAACGTCTCATGTATTTTTTCTTTTATGAGCCAATTCATCACACACTGTTAACTGGGCTAGAGTCAATCCGCATGCTTCTCATGCTAGCGCATGACAGTTTCAGCACACTGTCAAATGAATGCAACCACTTCAACTGTAATGGTTCAGTGCTGTAGTTCAGTGAGCCTCCTTCACTTTTTGACATAGAGGAGTCAGGACTTTGTAAAACTATATGTCCCACAATTCCACAGAACTGGGCAATAGCAGTTATATTATTGTTGTTATTGTTATTATTACTATTATTATTACTCTAAAGTAGCTTACAGAAAACCAGCACAACCCAATTTAAAACCCAAAAATATGCAGGCAAAATGGATTGGAATATCTGCTCCCTCTCCCTCCTTGTCTCTCATTCTCACATGCAGAGTCTGGCTGGCATGCAAACTCATCTTGTCTTCACCCAGCCCCATTCTCGCTTTGTTACCCATTCTGGAAGGCTTCCCCGGTTGAGGAAATCATCTCCACTTTCCACAAGGACTTTCTTCACCACGTCGTAGCCATGGACGACCACTGTCCTCCATTTCCTACCTCTCTAATTGGGTTTAATTCCATATTCTGCTTGAACTCCTGCAGAGTCCATTTAGGGCCGTTTCCTATTCTTTCCCAGAATAATAAAAGCATCCTTTTGGAACTACAGTTCCAAGTATCTCCCAAAGGATTATTTTTGAGTCATGGAACAATGGCTTCAAACTACAAGAGAGGAGATTCCATCTGAACATGAGGAAGAGCTTCCTGACTGTGAGAGCCATTCAGCAGTGGAACTCTCTGCTCCGGAGTGTGGTGGAGGCTCCTTCTTTGGAAGCTTTTAAGCAGAGGCTGGATGGCCATCTGTCAGGGGTGATTTGAATGCAATTTTCCTTCTTCTTGGCAGAATGGGGTTGGACTGGATGGCCCAGGAGGTCTCTTCCAACTCTTTGATTCTATAATTCTATGATTCTACGGTGATAACCCCCAAAGTTCTCTCCCCTTAAGTGCAGTTCTTTTGCCTTTCGCTCCTTACCTTCTTCAGCTGTTCGGCAATGTTGGTTCCCTTCAGCTGGAGGAGGTTGCCAATGACGGGGAGAGGGGTTGGCCCAGGTGGCCAGTTCCTCATCTTGGCCTCCACTTTTCTCCAGGCCACCAGAAGGACCAGAAAGACCACCAAGAAGAGCGTGGTGGTCCCTAAAGGATCCATTGCCTTTCTTCCTTCCTCTCTCTCTCTCTCTCTCTCTCTTTTTCTTTTGTCAGCAGAAAGTCTGAAGTGACAAGGTCCGCAGATCAGATCAACAGGACACTTGGAGTTGGTCAATCAGTAGCAGCACAAGGCCAGTTGCACAACCTTGGCACGGAGTCTATGTTTGTGTTCCTCCTGTATTTATTTGACTGGCTTCTCAGTTTTGAACTGGGGTGGGATCCAAGTTGGCTCATGTCATGTGAAGAACAATGTACACTTTTCAAAAAATAATAATGCGCCTCCAGCTGTTCAGCAGTGGAACTCTCTGCCCCGGAGTGTGGTGGAGGCTCCTTCTTTGGAGGCTTTTAATGAGCCTCCAGCTGTTCAGCAGTGGAACTCTTTGCCCAGGAGTGTGGTGGAGGCTTCTTCTTTGGAGGCTTTTAATAAGCCTCCCGCTGTTCAGCAGTGGAACTCTCAGCCCCAGAGTGTGGTGGAGGCTCCTCATTTGGAAGAACTTCCTAACTGTGAGAGCTGTTCAGCAGTGGAACTCTCTGCCCCAGAGTGTGGTGGAGTCTCCTTCTCTGGAGGCTTTTAAACAGAGGCTGGATGGCCATCTGTCAGGGGTGCTTTGAATGCAATTTTCCTTCTTCTTGGCAGAAAGGGGTTGGACTGGATGATGGCCCATGAGGTCTCTTCCAACTCTATGATTCTGTGATTCCACATTTGCTAATGTGAGGAGCATCATGAAAGCGGGAAAATCATCTCTGTCCATCTGTCCATCCATCCATCCATCCATCCATCCATCCATCCATCCATCTATCTATTGCTTTTATCTTGGGGAATTCCTTTCCAGGAATGTCTTGGAGGTCTTCTAGCACAACTCTGGGTCAACTCCCAGTTGTGATAAACTGGCCGAGAATGCCCTCGTGTGGCCATGGAATCAGCTAGTGTTATAATGTGTCAGCCATGCCAGGAATCTGTAGCATGTTGATACCATTTTTATCCCGAGAATACATAAAGTATTTATATCTTGCCAAACTACACATCCCAGTGTTATTGACCGGGAAGCAATCATCTTCAGAGTATTGTTGAAGGCTTCCATGGCTGGAATCACTGGGTTGTTGTAGGTTTTTTGGGTTGTATGGCCATGTTCTAGAGGCGTTCTCTCCTGACATTTCGCCTGCACCTACGGCAAGCATCCTCAGAGGTTGTGAGGTCTGTTGGACCTAGATTATTCTGTGGAATAATGTCCAGGATGGGACAAAGAACTCTTGTCTGTTGGAGGAAGGTGGGACTGGTTCAACTGCCACCTTGATTAGCATTGGATGGCCTGGCAGTTGTTTGGTGTGGCTTGTTAGTGCCTGGGGGAATCCTTTGTTGAGAGGTGATTAGCTGTCCCTGATTGTTTCCTTGCTGGATTTTCCCTGTGTTTGAGTGTTGCTTTGCTGTTTTATAATTTTAGAGATTTTTAATACTGTTAGCCAGATTTTGTTCATTTTAATGGTTTCCTCCTTTCTGTTGAAATTGTCCAAAATTGTCAAAAAATCAAAAAGCAAGAGTGTTTTGGTCTGTTTTGAAGCGTTTTTCCTTTCTATTGCTTTATATGTTTGTTTGTTTCTTCATTTGTCCCCTTGGAATCCCTGATGGGCCTGAAGTAATATGTAAAGCAGGCATGGGAAAACTTTGGCCTTCCCTCCATGTGTTTTGGACTTCAACTCCCACAATTCCTAACAGCCTCGGGACCCTTCCTTTTCTCCCTCAGCTACTTAGGCTTGCTCAAGCGAGATCATAGAATCCTAGAGTTGGAAGAGACCTGATGGGCCTTCCAGTCCAACCCCATTCTGCCAAGAAGCAGGAATATTGCATTCAAAGCACTCCCGGCAGATGGCGATCCAGCCTCTGTTTAAGAGCCTCCAAAGGAGGGCCTTCCACCACACTCTGGGGCAGAGAGTTCCACTGCTGAACAACTCCCTCACACAGTCAGGAAGTTCTTCCTCATGTTCAGGTGGAATCTCCTTTCTTGTAGTTTGAAACCATGGCTCCATTGTGTCCTAGTCTCTTTCCATATGTGACTTCCTCTCACATATTTATACATTGCCCTCATCCTGTCTCCTCTCATCCTTCTCTTCTTCAGGCTAAACATGCCCAGCTCTTTAAGCCGCTCCTCATAGGGCTTGTTCTCCAGACCCTTGATCCTTTCAGTCACCCTCCTCTGGACACATTCCAGCTTGTCAACATCTCACTTCAATTGTGGTGCCCAAATTGGACACAGTATTCCAGGTGTGTTCTAACCAAGGCAGAATAGAGCATGAGGAGCATGACTTCCCTGGATCTAGACACTAGACTCGTATTGATGCAGGCCAACATCCCATTGGCTTTTTTTTTTGCCACCCCATCACAATGTTGGCTCATGTTTAACTTGTTGCCCACAAGGACTCCAAGGTCTTTTTTCGCACGTCCTGCTCTCAAGTGTTATGTCCCCCCATTCCATCTCTTTGCATTTCATTTTTTTCTGCTTAAGTGGAGTAAACACTTAAAATAAATAACAATAAACAACAATAACAATAAATAACAACAATTACAACAGCAAAACAGCAGAGAGGAAACAACCAAGCACAGCTTAACACCTCTCAACAAAAGATTTTCCCAGGCTCAGCCAGGCCTTCAAATGCTAATGAAGGTGGTCAGTTGAAACATTCACACCTAGCTCCAGCAGAGAAGAGCTCTTGGCCCCACCCCAGTCATTCCACAGATATATAAACACTTTGTCCTAGTTCCAACAGACCTCACTACCTCTGAGGATGCTTGCCATAGATGCAGGCGAAACGTCAGGAGAAATGCCTCTAGAACATGGCCATAAAGCCTGAAAAAACCCAGAAGAACCTATTCACACCTAGCTTCAGCAGAGAAGAGCTCCTTGCCCTTTGCCCCACCCCAGTCATTCCACAGATATATAAACCCATTTTCCTAATTCCAACAGACCTCACTACCTCTGAGGATGCTTGCCATAGATGCAGGCGAAACGTCAGGAGAAATGCCTCTAGAACATGGCCGTATAGCCCGAAAAAGCCCAGAAGAACCTAATAACAATAAATGTTTTCAGCACACAAATTTTTCGATGTTTAACCCAAAAGAAGAAAGTTGACTGAAAATCTGGTTGCAGGTTGAGTCTCCCTTATCCAAAATACTTTGGAGTACAATAATTTTGGATCTGTTTTTTTCCTATCCTGGAGATACATTTCATTCTGTTGGTTTATCAAGCTGCCCGTTGTATTGGCCCATGAGAAGGCATTCCATTTCACACAGGAGCCATCCTCTGAAGATGAAGCCCTCATTGTCTCTGATGGTTTTGGAAGTGGTCGTCCACAAAAAGTCCCCTTTCCCGTAAATATATGCACAGGAGCAAATAATCAATGAGGAGCCCCAAATGTGGCCTTCTGCTAATTCACGGAAATCTGAATTGCAGGCCCCGGCCAGTCTGCACAGCAGGGCTAATGATTAATCTGATTGAAAATCCCATTGGTTTTGGGGCAGGCGGGACCGCCTCCCCTTCCTCGAAATGACCAAAGAGGAAGAGTCAAGGTCCCGGGGCAGAGACAGATATCAACAAGAGCTTCCAGAAGCACAGGGATACTTCCAACCATGAAGAAGGTCTGGCTGTTTCTGGCGTTCGCAGCAGTCGCTGTGGCAACAACGGAAAGACAGGTGAGCTGGTTTTTCCATCACAACGTAGGGAGCGGGGAGATAGGACCCATGCCGAAAAGAGAGACAAGGCACTCAAATCTGCAGAGTTTGTGCTAGGTTTGGACTGCAGATGGAGCGGACATGGGACTCCACCTCTGCATTGAAGCTGCCACACTCTGGGCAACCAAATTCTCTGCACTAAAGTGGGGTATAAATAAACATGATAAACATAATAATAATAATAATAATAATAACAACAACAACAACAACAACAACGGGTGCCGCCTTGTCGTTGGCGGGGGGCTTAACTACTTCAATGATGTTGGGAGCTGTACTGGCGGTAGTGTAAACTACCAGCAGGTCCAACCAAGCCAGAGTGGTCTCAACTGAGAAGTAGAAGTAAGTGCACCCAACCCATTTAAATATGTTGAAACAAACTCTAAAGAAGTCTATACTGGCTCAGTCGTCGCCCAGGATAGAAAAGCTAACACGATATGAAGATTTAAAGGTCGAACTGTGGCACAAGTCAGTAAAGGTGGTCCCAGTGGTGATCGGCACACTGGGTGCAGTGCCTAAAGACCTTGGCCTGCACTTACACACAATCGGTGCTGACAAGATTCCCATCTGCCAGCTGCAGAAGGCCACCTTACTGGGATCTGCACGCATTATTCGCCGATACATCACACAGTCCTTGGGAAGTGTCCGACATGTGATTGAAAACAACAGCCAGCAGAGTGATCTTGTTTGCTGTGGACTCATCTTGTTGTGTATATAATAATAATAATAATAATAATAATAATAATAATAATAATAATAATAGTGTTCCTCCAACTTGCTACCCCATGGATTTCAATGGGTCTCTTGTTGTTTATTCGTTCAGTCATTTCCTACTCTTTGTGACCTCCTGGACCAGCCCAGGTCAGAGCTCCCTGTCAGCCATGGCTGCCCCCAGTTCCTTCAAGGTCAAGCCAGTCGTTTCAAGGATAGCATCCATCCATCTTGTCCTTGGTCGGCCCCTCTTCCTTTTTCCTCCCATTTTTCCCAGCACCATTCTCTTCTCCAAGCTTTCCTGTCCTCTCATGATGTGGGCAAAGAACTTCATCTTTGCCTCTCATCTCCTTCCCTCCAGTGAGCAGTTGGGCATTATTTCCTAGAGTATGGACTGGTTGGATCTTCTCGCGGTCCAAAGCACTTTCAGGATTTTCCTCCAGCACCACAGTTCAAAAGCATCTCTCTTCCTTTGCTCAGCCTTCCTTATGGTCCAGCTCTTGCATCCACAGGTTACTATGGGGAATACAATTGCTTTAAGTATAAGAATCTTCATTGCCAGTGTGATGTCTCTACACTTCACTATTTTATGGAGATTGGGGCTGGTTTAGCTCGGTTACTCAAGAAGGGGTGTTTCGGAGTGATTGCGTCTATTGCCCTAATCATCTCACTGTCCCAGAGAGAGACCAGAGCATCGACAG